TCGCTCCCGTCCTCGCCCCTGCCCCAGTCCCTGCCCAACGCCCAACGCTGTGGCACAGTCATGTGTAAAGAGCTGCCCCACCCGTGGCACTTGCTGGTGGCAAAGCGAGAGATTGACAAATTGAAACGAATGTGGCCATTCACTTGGAAAAGTTCATTAAATGCCCAAACAGCAGCCACCCCACCAGACAGGCAGACAGGGAGGCAGGGTATATCATAAAAAGGCAGCGAAGGGACATGGGCAGGACATGGGCATTATGACAATATGGCAACACCTCAACAGGAACAGGAACAGGCATAGGAACCAGACGGGCAGCGCTTGGAATTGAAAATTCCTCGTAGTCATCTGAGAGAGAGACGGGGAGGGGGAGGGGGTGACAAGGCCGAGGAGGAGTTTATGCCCATGGCCCGCGGCCCACCCTGCCATCAGGCAGCCGCAGAAAAAGCGTGACGTATTTCCGTTTCCCATTCGCACCTGCATTCATTATCCTGGAGTACATTTCATGTTGTAGTTGTTGTTTTTTGTTATGCGTAACTAAGTTTTAGCTGTCAGTTTTTATGTTTGCCGCATAATGAAGTCGGATCAGGCGCAGGGCCTGGGGTTGACATTGCCCTGCTTGAGGTATGCGCGTGTGTGTGTGTGTGTGTGGATGTGTGTGGTACAAGTGCGCGTGTCCAATCCGATTTAATGCAGTCAAGTGACTTTATTTTTATTAGCACAACTTAATGAACTTGAAATTTCAAACAACATTTATTACAATCTCCTTTCTGCTCTCTCTGTGTGTGCGGTGAAATTTGAAATTAGAAAGTCAAGTGATTTATGAACGTGCCGTGACTGAAGATTAGCCGTCGTTTATATATAACCTGCAAGTGTAACCCAACTCGGAAATTTGGGACTACTGAAGAATAAAGTTATTCAATATTTAGCTGAAAGAGAGAGAGAGAGGGGGGGAGGGACAGACAGAGATAGAGAGAGATGCGATAGAGAGAGAAGGGGAAGAGAGAGACGAGAGAGAGAAAGGGAGGAGAGAGAGAGAGAGAGAGAGGAGAGAGAGAGAGAGAGAGAGAGAGAGAGAGAGAGAGAGAGGAGGGAGAGAAGAGGAGAGAGAGAGAGAAAGGAGATAGAGAGGATAGTGAAGATAGAGAGGAAAGAGAAGAGAGAGAGAGAGAGAGAAGAGAGAGAGAGAAAAAGAGAGATAGAGAGGTAAGAGAAAGAGAAAGAGAAAGAGAAAGAGAGAGAGGCAGAGAGAGAGAAGAGAGATAAAAGCGAGAGAGGTATAGACAGAGAAAGAGAAAGACAGAGACAGAGAGAGAGAAGATTTGAACCAGTAACCTCTTCTTTAAATTACCTGAATGACTGGATTATGAAGTAAGCTTATCTACTGAGGAGTACATGAATATATTATTATTATTATACAAACTTTAATTAGTATCGCGCAACCTTATTTTGAAAAAGCACTCTCTAAACTATACGCTAAGATTCGAACCAGGAACCTTCCTTTTCAGCTGCCCGAATAACCGAACCAATAAGACAACTCATCTAGTAAAATGGATAAATTTAAACCTAGGCTCACACTAAATCTATTTTTCAAAGCTTTCAGCCATATTTCAACTGTTGCACAACATAGTTGACTGATTAAACCACTCCCCCTGCTGGCACTCGAACCTCTGAAACCGCCCAAGTGGGCTCATTAATGAGCGCAAACGATGCATTTGATGGCAATGCAATCAACAGACAAAAGAGCGAGAAAGTTTAATTGCAGCTTTTTAGCTGAAAAGCAAAAGTACGCCGTAATTATATACATGCACACCCAGCGAAGAGCCGAACTAGGGACGCGGGCACGGACACGGACACGGAGAGGTGCCCACCATGACGCATGCGCCTAATTGCGGCATCGCACACCAAAAAAAAAAAAAAAACACGAAAAGTTGTTGAAGAAAACGAGAAAAATTGGTTTCTCTTCGGGAGGGAAAACTAAAACACCCTCAAAGCCCCCTTTTATACATATGCAATATATTACTCGACTGCAAAGTAAAGACAAATTTTGGATAGTTCGTTTCAAGGTTCTATCAAATGCCTCGATACTAGATTATTTATGAAAATACAATAGGAAAAAATAAAACAATAAGTTATTAAAGTAAAGAAATTTATACCAGATATATACAGTTAAGTAGAGAGGATGAAGAGATAGGGATGAGAAATCATCGACCCGGTGCTGGAAAATGTAGAACCTGTCCGGCAAGCTATAAAAAAAGTTCTATCATCAATATCAAAGACAATGAAAATAGTTCTTTATATTGATTTTGGTTATATGTCAAAGTAGGGTTCTTAATTTCAGAATTTATTTAATATTTGTCAAAACGCAAAAAGATTCCTTAAATAGGAGCTCATCTTTCGACAAAGTGTTCCCAATAACCTGACAAAAAATGATCTGTTTGGGCCAAGACTGACTTATCTACTGACCCCTTAATAAACATATAACGACAGGCAGAATAGTTCATATTAAATGAGTTACATAAGTGGCAATAAAAAGAAAATACTCTTTGAAAGTGTATAAGACAACGTCAACACCAAACAAGCGGGAGAAGGGTCGCGGCCATTGTTGCTGTTTACGTGACTTATTTATATAGCCCGCATTGTTGTCTGCCGCTGAAGCGATGCGTCGCCGTCGTCGTCGTCGTCGACGTTGTTGCAACTTGCAACTTAAGCAAATCGCATTCTCATTACTTACGCGGCGTCCAGAACCTATGGAGAGGGCCAAAGCTCCATTAACGTCAGCCTCGCGTTAAAAATCGATAGATAGATTGAGCCAACTGCCAACTACTGCTGAGAGCGGGAAAGGGAACGGTACCGGGACCGGGACCGGGACGGGGACCAGGTCGCCAACGAAGCCCAGTCGAGTAGAAGGCGAGGCGCGGCGAACTCTGGCTTTGAGTCTCGTTGCGGCGGCAGAGATCAAAGCCCGCGAAAAGCCACCATCATCTTCTTAAAGGTGGTAATTATGTCCCGTCTCTGGCCAGAACGTTCTGACTGGGCTTTTGCTGCTGCTGCTTTGGGTCTCTCAGCCAAATTCTCTTCTTGTTGTTAAGGAAGTGTCGCTGATCAGTGATCAGTGATCGAGCTGATCGAGGATCGAGCTGCCTGCCGCAGTGAAAGCTTCACAGTCAAATTTGTACGCACTTGGGGCCCGCAAAAATGGCCGCCGGCAACCGAAAACCGAACCCGAAACCGAGCCCGAAATTTAATTTAAGTAGCCCTATATAGCGAGATCCGCGCAGCCCCCCTCATCATAACTCAGCTGTCAGCTGCATGTCACTTTTGTGGCTACCGTTGCCGATCCAAATTGTAGACGCAATTAGTTTGAAATATTATTATCGACACGTACTCCGGCTCCGGCTCGGGCCGGTCTTTCTGTCTGTGTCTGTCTGTGACCGCACCACAATTACCCTCAATTGAAGGGAGCTTCATTCGTGTTAAACTCTTTGACCACATCTCGCACTTATATACACACCACTTGCCACAGTTTGTTGAGCTGATTTCACTTGCCCCAAGCCACACTTCATATACAACCGAGATATATATATATATGGAGCACACACACAATTTCGACTTCCCGTGCTCGTTGCTTCAATTGAAAAGCTGCTGACAAAAGTTGTCATTGATGATCTTGCCGGGCATCGGGCATCGAGCGAACCGAACCGCTATTTGAAAATCAAATTGCGCCATTAAGTGGTGGCAATTAGTAAGCCCAGACACAGACACAGACAAAGTTATATTTTCTACACTCGCAGAAAAAAATCAAGAATATTTTAACAATATAAAAAGGACTATGATTTTCTTAATCAGAGTACAAAATTCTTTTCGAACCCGAAATTATTTACACTTAAACAGAAGCTAAGAAATAAAATGCTTCTTTCAAGTTTTTAAATTCTTCTATCAAGTATTTTGTCTGTTTCCATCTTATTTTTCTAATATTAACCTTTTGCTGCAAACCAGGCTTAAAATAAACCGAATCAAACCCGGACTCAACATATTTCATTCATCATAAGCCGCATATAAATTTAACTAATTAAATGCAAATTTTTGGTATTTTTGGACAAAAAAACAATATCGAAATAGATTGAGTACATCTAGACACAACTGAATCAAACCAAAACCGAAGCCTGGCTTACATATCAACCCTTAAAGCGAATCATTTGTTCGAACCGTAAAACGAAGCTGCAAACATTTTTGTTTGGCTTGCAATCAAGAATGAAATCAAGCAGACTTAAATTAAGATTAATCATAAACGAGATATACTTGGCAATCAAAGAACTAAACTAGAGTTTAGTTAGAGCGTATTTCGCTCAGTGTAGCTGTTATAGACACATAGACTTCGGCCTGTCAAACGGTAGTGGAACGTTACTTTTTTCAATTATGAATAGAGAATGATTGTTTCGTGCGCTGCTGAATGATGGATGAATGCGAGCCCCAAACATAGACAATGCCAGCTCTGAATGCCTTTTTGCCATAGACTCAAAGCCCGCAGTCATCAGGCCTAATGGGCCCACAATAGACGTACTCGTCTCTCTCTGTGTGTTGAAGGTGGCGTTAATTAATTTGTGACAGACAAACAACGAGAGAGAGAGACGGAGACAGAGCTTATTAATTAGACAATAAACTTGAGTTGGGGCCTCTTCAAAGCTGACATTTGCCTCGTTGGAATATGAATAGCCCAGACCGAGAACGAGTGCAATAAGAGCTGAAAGCTAAAAGCGCAATTATCAATAATAATATGATACTATAATTTAAGTAAATGTATGGCTCGATTCTACATAACGGAGGGCGCACAAATTATAGGTATACCTATCTCTGACTCTTTCCCCTCCGGCCGCTCCATCCGCTCCTTCCTTCGTCTCTAGGCAGACATTCGAAATGCATTCAATTTCATTTGGTTTCATTAATTTATTTTCGAGTGCCGAGGCGCAACGCAATTGGCAAAAAGAAAAATAAATACTTACGGTCCAAACTCGCTATGAAGAACCTGAAAGAGAGATTATAAAATAATATTTATATTTATATTTATATTATTAAATTGTTAATTATTTTATAATTAAATTGTTGTTAGTATTTAATAATTGAGTTTTATTTAAATATATTATGCCCCTCATTTTTGCTGCCATACGTTCAAGCGAAGCTCCACTGTAGCCACGTACCAATATGAACGTTTGCCTGTAAAAAAATGACGACGACAACAAAACGGCAACAGAAAATTACACTGAAATTATAGCAACAATTATTTTCAAATTGAATTACATCCAATTACAAATAAAATGAAATGCAGATGGCATGAAGATAGCGACAATGGCGTCGTCCGCCGCAGCCAGGAGGAGCCTCTACAGCTGCCTGTTGTAGGCGGCCGTGGGTGGGTTTTGTGTCGCCTCCGTCTGCCTCTGCCCCTGCTCCCGCCCCTACCTCGCCGAACGGCAAGACGGAAAAAAAACCAATTAGAGACTTGGCCAGCGGCTGTCACAGTCGGGCGGGTGTCAGCTCGTAAGTTATTATCCTGCAATTAATTTGGCTAAATGTTCCTCTTCTTCTTCTGCTTGCGCTGGGGTCTCGTACGCCGACGCGCAGCGCAAGCGCCTGAACGAGCCGCGCTGATTGGCTGACCCGCTCGTGATGACGTCACGGTTGCAAGAGCCGTGTAAGACACGCCTGCAACACGGCTTCAAGCAGTGGGTGAGCATGGAAGAGAGTGAAAACAAGAGAGAGCGGCGCAGAGAACAATAGAAAGAGAGAGGGAGAGCGCAACAAAGTGCGTTTGCCGGCAAAGTGTGCGCTCGCGCTTCAACATGTTCGATGTTCGATATTCGACTGTCGAAGTTCGATGTTGCAGTTGTGGGCGAGCTGCACATCAACTTTAGCATTCTAAATACTGTTAACTTCAATTGAAGTTTACTTTATAATAATGATATTTAATATATATTAAACTTGCGAACATTACCCGGCCTTGCACGTCCAAAATACTTTTCAGCGAATTTAAAATTAGTTTTACTCCTATCTTCCATTTGTGAACTGTTTTTCATTTAATTTTCAATATTTTTAAATGACAATTGAAATGTGGAATTTTCGTAGAGTTAGAAACATGCGTCTTCAAAAATTAGCATTTATTTTCCAGTTTAAGCCGAGTTGCAATTTTGCAAATTTTTGAATAAATATTTCAATGTTCACAAGGAAACACGTTTCTTTGAAAATGAGCTTTGAAAATTAGCTTGAAAAGGATGAGAAGAAATTCAGCTAACTTCATTTTATCGTTTTCCATTAATTTTCCAATTTTGCTGCAGAAGTTTATCATGTCTTACGTCATAAATTTTAAGTTTTTGTGTGAATTAATTAGAAAATCAACTCTGTGTGGGCAATCTATTTAAATACTACTATACTATGTTATAAAAAACCTTAAAAAACATTACTTAATAACCGAAGACAAGATAAAGAGTAAAATCCATTTAATATCTAACTGAAGTGCTACCCACTTGATTAAGAACTTAACGGAGCTTCTACGTTTAGGTAAAAATATTAGCCCCATTTTAATAAGTATTTTATTGAAGGCATTCAAATGGCATAGAATTTATGTTCCTAAGACTATTGCACCTCTTGATTAATTCAATTTAGATTAAAACCCAATCAAGAGCTTATCTTAAGCTAATTTCTATCTAAAATGCTGCCTACTTGAGTTGAAAAAAAAAAAAAACTCCACATTCTTTTTTTTTTTTATACGCAGAGGCATAGAAACGGAGATCCATTTAGATAGAACCAATTGTTAATTTTCAGCTTGCTTTCACGGGCTTATCGGAAAATGGTGGAAACCTTTTAGGCCGGCAACTTGTGTGGCAAATTAAAATTCAATTTTTCAAAATATCAAATCAAATCAAATCGAACAAAAAATAGAACTGATGCACAAATTGAATGTGAGTCCACTTAATTCGATTTAGTTTTAAGTTGTTGTTTTTGTTCGTGTGTGTCAGCGCGTGTGTTAATGACGCTTTAGAAAATGTAACAAATGCCATAGGTCATAGTACCTAGTCCTGTGTCGATCCTGACCCGCTCTATGACTGTGATGCTGCATTGTCTCTGGATGCGTAACAAATGCGCCTGACAATGGGAATTGGCACAGGTTTGCCAGCAGGTCTAGGAGAAACTCATTATAAGGCGTGTGATAATCCGCAGCCGAGCACAAAAGGACACATTAGCCACACGTAGTTAGCGCAAGGACCTCAGCAAGGACTAACCCTCATATACCTCAGCGTAGGTGGCTAATGGACTCTCGCTGCACTTTAGTTTTGGTCAATGCCTTTCACACCTTCTACTACTCCTCCATTCCAGGTCCAGGCCAAGACAAGCTGGGCGACTGAGCGTGAAGAATCGTAAACGAGAGCCGAACCCGAGCTCCGGCTGAGCAGATCCTTTCATGTCCCTATCTTTGATCAGTGCCGACTCACACACAGGTGAGACGACTGGCCAATAGCCAGGCCGCAATTAGTCCTTAATACGCAGCCAATACTTCATGCAGCCGGAGATTTATAATTGTGTTAAAAACTCGCGCTCACATTTCATGAGAATCCTCGGCCCCAACCGATTCGATCTAATCCAATCCAATCCAATCTGATCCGATCCGATCTGAGGGCGTCACACTATTTGCTGTTGAAATTTTAAGCTAATTTACACATTTCACAACAACAGCCTCGAGTATTCGACTTTATAATACCCCGTACCCAACTCGACAAATCAATACTTTTTCCTCTGCTGCACACAATGATAAAATTATATAATAATATAACTAACTTATTAATCTTATCCTATTATTATACTCAAATATTCTATATAGACATATCATAACTTCCCACCCCATAACTCGGTCAAAGTTCATTCGATTTTCATAGGATTTTGTTTTTTCGTCAACTGATTTTCAAAAGGTTTGGCTCTTTTATACTTATTTTATTTATAATATGGGCAAGACCGGGGTATATACAGAAAGAAAGACACTGATCGAGTATACCCTATAGACCTAGCTCGTCCTCCTGAAGGGGCATATATACTTTGTGCCTTCATCTAGCTGTGACACACTCTGTTACCCATTCAGCATACCCTTCATAAACCAGCTAGCATTGGTGCAGGGCATAAAAATGTTAAGTCACTGTGTTAATTGCAGCACTCTGCACCCCCCGCCCCCATTTTCCATTTCCACGCCTCAAATCTGAACATTTTTCCTTGGCCCGGCTTCTAATCTGAATATCCAGCATCTGCATCTGTGTCCATTCACGCCCCATATTAATCTCCATTATTTGGCGCTATTCGCCCACGCCTCACTCTTTCAACACGGAAGCAATAAAAACTCAAATTACTTTTCGTTTACATCCTGACTTTGGGAGTCTCTGACTTGGTCTCTCCTAATTCCCATGTTAATGACAGCAATTAATTTTCGTTCGTCTGAGATATCTGTATGTGACCCCAACCAGAGCCAAAAGTCAAACAAATCGAGAAACATATTTTTATTGTCGCATCGCAAAAATACCGCTGGGAGCTATTAATTACTCAAAATGTAGTCAACAAACAAAGTTCAGAATCCCTTTCCCCCCCAAATCGTGTCTGTCTAGCGTGGCGAATTTCTTATCCCTTTGTCAATTTCAGCAAACTTTCTCTACCAGAGCATATCTCCCCCCTTCCCCTCCCTCTATCTGTTTGCGCCCACGCAAAACTGTCCTGGGCTGATTTATGGGCTCTGGCCCACAATAAATTTCAGCACTCCAGGTGTTGAGCCACATAAATCAATCCATTAGTTTTTCGCACTCACATGTATTTCGATTTGTTGACTCTGGACTTTTATTTGCTGCTGGCAGGGTGGCTGCTCCCTGCGGAGAGGGGGGTTTGTTTCGTTGGACTTGGACGCCAGACTTGCGCGCGATTCGTTGCACTGTTTCTGGGCTTTGTCTGGGCTTTGGGTGACAATAAATTATGGCCATGATTAGTCTAAATTTGGCAAATCTATGTTGAAATCAGTGAAAAAAAAACAAGACGCGGAAACTTTGGTAAATAATTCCCACAGCATGGCTAATGTAAGCTGAAAACTTTCCCAAACATTTTTCTCACGGAAAAAAAAACAGTTGCGAAAATTGAAAAACGAAAAACAGAAAAAAAAGCAGCTCAACTAAATCATTAGCTAAAATCAATAATAAAAGTTGCATATCAGGCGGCCAAAACGCCGCAAGGTATGCTGCAATTTGCCCACGAGTGTGCGTGTGTGTGTGCGTGTGTGTGCAACACAGGTGGCAATGTGGCCATTATGGCTAATGGGCAAACGCAAGATGCCTCGCGGTCAAATGAGTTAAGCCAACAAGAAGAGGAAGAAGCAGCCGGCAGCAGCAGCAGCAGCAGCAGCAGCAGCAGCAGCAAGCGTTAAAGTAAGCCATAAAAAAGACAAAGCCGTCATTTTTCTAATGAAGCAGCCGAGTAGAGCGCAAAAGATACATTCTTATAGATACATATGGCCCAAGTAGAAGCCAGTTAAAGACTTTAGTTGCGCCCGGTAAAAAAAAAGCCAACTCCAGCTCGGCCAATCAGGCAGCTGCGCCGAACTTCAAAGCCAAAATCAGACAGTTGGCTGCGGATATGAGACGCTTAAGATACACACACACACACACACACACAGATACAATAATACAAAGATACAAAGATACACAGCTACAGAGGCAGCTTTTGATAAATGAGCAGACAGGCGTACAAAGTCGAGAATAACGAGCGAAAGAAACAGGCTCAGACTGGAGGCTGAGGCTCGAGAGCAACTGCAGCAAACACTCTCTGACTGTGTGTGTGTGTGTGAGTGTGTGCGTGTGTATGTATGTGTAAAGCAGGCTTAATCACATTGCCTGGCCATTGGCCAGCAGGCGGCTGAAGATCAAAGCGCGCTTTAGCTGTTAGATGCGGCTAGCTTGGTGGTCGCCTTGGCTGAGCCTCGGCTAGAATGCTGCCTCTGCCCAGGTAATT